GGAGAAAAATGGCAGTATTGAATGTTCAGTGACCCTCCTAGGAACTGGTGAGTGAAGGGGGAAAAAAACCAAATACATTTAAGGAACCTTTTGAGGAATTTGCATCAAATGTTCATCAGTGCCTAACCAAAGGAGAAAAGACTCAGCCAATAAAACCTCGTGCCATGCACAATTTTTATGAAACGGGCGTCTGCTTATAGCAAAGATCAGAAAGGAATCTGTCGAAGGCGAACACAGGATCCAACTGAAGTTTTTGGTGAAGTTTGCGCATTTTCAGCTGCTGCAAAAGAAAAATTCAAAATATCGCTCTTGATTAAAAGAAACTTGCTTCTGAAGTCGGCGAAGAGGCTCTTTTTTTTTGGGAGGTGGGGCATCCCAAAAAGACAACCCCTTTTGGGAAAACCTCAAATTTACTTGAGAAAAAAACTGAGAATTAAGAAGCCAAAGGATGGAGACCAATGTGCCGGCCGCAGAGGAAGCTCGGGGGGAGACGGAGCCCACTGAATCTGCCCCCCCTGAGCCCACGGAGGCCGGCCTGGGTGGCCAGGAGGTGGTTGCTTCTGCTCTCCCTGCAGGGGCTGCCAAAGAGACCCCAGCCCACCTCGTCCAGGATGGTGCCCAAAGCGTCCCACAGAAAGACGATGGCCGGGTTTCCCCTGTAGAAGCAGCTGAAGGGGGGCGAAAGGAGGGACCCCCGTCCCCGAGTGAGGAGGCCTCCCCTCTGCCAGCCCCTCCGGTGCCCACCAGCTGCAGCCCAGCTGAGGATGCCCCCAAGCCATGTCCGTCTCCAGCCAGCCAGCCCAAGGCGCCGGACTTCTACTGCGTGAAATGGATCACCTGGAAGGGCGAGAGGACACCGGTCATCATGCAGAGCGAAAACGGCCCCTGCCCGCTGCTGGCCATCATGAACATCCTTTTTCTGCAGTGGAAGGTAGAAGGGGGCCACGGGGAGGGGTCCCCAGCCAGGCTGCCCTGGAGCAGGCCTGAGAAGCAGGGGGCCTCAATTTTTCACTCCCCCCAGGTGAAGCTGCCTGCCCAGAAGGAAGTGGTCACCTCGGACGAGCTGATGGCTTATCTCGGTAAGGAGCCCCATGGCGGTTGGCACCACCTCTCCGCTCCCAGGCAGAGTGGTGGGCGCTACCCACCTCCTTCCGTCCCTCCTCCCCCTTTCTTCCCCCCTCCTCGGCACCACAATCCTGCGAGGTAGGGCCAGCGTAGAGCGCGCCCAAGGTCATCGCCTTCTGACGGCAGAATAATCCCGAGGGCTCAAAAGCTAAACCCGACAGGCGTTTGAACAGGACGGGATAAGGTCTCCTGCTGGAGGAGGGGGGGTCAGACTAGAAGACCTCTGGGGTCCCTTCCAGCCCTGGGATATTCTGTGTGCTCTCCTCCCCGCCACCAGTGGGAGGTCCTGCCTGACTGAGAGGGTCTCTGCCCCACTTCTGCCCCTGCAGGGGACTGCCTCCTGTCCATCAAGCCCCAGGACCAAGCGGAGGCCGTCCAGCTCAACTTCCAGCAGGTGAGTGGGGGTCTGCCTCGGAGGCCTTCCCTTCTGCAGCTGGCATCCAAAATGGTGCCAGGGCCCTTTGGGGGCCTCTTGGCTTCTGGGGCCCCTTCGGGAAAATGTCCATTTTTTTTCTTCCCGGGCAGAACGTCAATGACGCCATGACGGTCCTTTCCAAGCTGTCCACGGGGCTGGACGTCAACGTGAGGTTCACGGGGGTCTCGGACTTCGAATACACCCCCGAGTGCATCGTTTTCGACCTCCTGAACGTCCCCCTTTATCACGGCTGGCTGGTGGATCCCCAGGTGGGTGGCTCTGCTCCCCTGGTGTTGGGTTTGGGGGCCAGAGCGGTGGGGAGGGGGCGAGATGAAATTACACACCACACAGCCAGAGACCTTGGCATAAATTAGAATTTCTCGACCTTGGCCCCTTGAAGAGGTCTGGACTTCAACTCCCAGAATCCCTCAGCCAGCAGTTCTGGGAGTTGAAGTCCAGACCTGGCTGGGGAATTCTGGGAGTTGAAGTCCAGACCTCTTACAGATGACCAAAGTTGAGAAAACTGGCTTAGTTAGCCCTTAATCCGCTGTTTCAACAGTGGCCTAGCTAGTCTGCTGTGAAGACCTGCTACTCTCCTCCGATGGGCAGACTGCAGGCTTCACTTAACAGATAATCAGAGTTGGAAAGGACCTTGTAGGTCATCTAGTCCAACCCCCCGCCGTTCATGGGAGAAAAATCAAGCTACTAGTCTTCCTGGAGAAATTTGGACATCTGTGCAAGGTTGAGCCTTTTGCAAGGCTCAAAACCACAAGAGGGAAGTGTAAACATCCTGTTTTTAAATCCGTTCTTGCGGCCTCTCTCAAAACTGTCCTGTAGGCAGTTCCGTTTCCCCCGCTCCCTGACACCAACAACACCCCTGCAGAGTAGCACTGCAGCACAGAAATGTCAACCCAGTTCTTGCTGTGCCCTCTCCTGCCTGCACCCCGGTTTTAGGGTGGGCGTTTCTCTCCTCTCCTCCCCAGATTCCCGAGGTGGCCGGAGCCGTCAGCAAACTGAGCTACAACCAGCTGGTGGAAAAAATTATCACTTGTAAACACTCTAGTGACCCAAACTTGGTGACGGTTTATACCGTAGGGGGTGTGGGGGTGGGCGGCGATGCTGGGGACGCCGAAGAGGGGGGGGGGGCTCTTTGGGGGCATTGCTAATAGCTGGCGGGCCTGGGAAGGTGGCTTAGAAGCCACTAAAGCCAGGGGGGTCCATCCGTGGCAATTTTAAGCCTTGTGGACTTCAATTCCCGGAATTCTGGGAGTTGAAGTCCACTAGTCTTAAACTTGGCTGGGGAATTCTGGGAGTTGAAGTGCACAAGGCTTAAATGTTGTCCAGATTGGCCACCCCTGATGTAAAAGGATGCATGGGCTTGTTTGTCCTCCCTCCCTCCCTCTTTTCCCCTCCCCCCAGGCCTAATTGCAGAACAATTTTTGGAGTCCACAGCATCGCAGCTCACCTACCACGGTCTCTGCGAACTGACCTCCACCGTCAAGGAAGGCGAACTGAGCGCTTTCTTCCGAAACAACCACTTCAGTGCCATGATCAAGCACAAGGTATTTCTTTCGCTGGGGAAATTGGGGAGTTGGCATGACTGACGGGGCTCCAAAGCTTATTTGCCACGTAATTGTTCCTGACAGATAAACATGATTATGACAACACCCCACTGAGTTTGTTCCTCTTTGCGGTTTGTTCTTGTAAAAAGCATCACTTTCTTGCCCTTTCTTGTGAACAAGGGCTTCACCTCTCCTAGGGTTTCATGCCAACGTTTATCCTTTTTATCCTTTAATTGTTTTATATTGTCATTTTTGTCTTATAAAGCCTCCTCCGGTTGCTTGAAGACGGGATGGACGGCATGTAGATTTAACCAAAACAAATACTTTAAATCTTTTAGCTAGAAGTTGTCGGTTTTTGTAATCTTAATGTGATTTTTCAACATATTGATGGTTTTATTTTAATGTGGTGAGCTGGCCAGAGTCGCCTTGTGGCGAAATGAGCAGCAAGTAGATTTGGAAAGGAAAGAAGGAAGGAAAGAAAAGGAAGGAAGGGAAAGGAGAGGGATAGAGGGAGGGGAGAAGGAAAAAAGGCAGGAAGGAAAAGAGAAAGGGAAGGAAGGAATGAAGCAAGAGAGAAAGAAGAAGGAAAGAAAGGAAAGAAAGAAAGAAAGAAAGAAAGAAAGAAAGAAAGAAAGATAGATAGATAGATAGATAGATAGATAGATAGATAGATAGATAGATAGATAGATAAGAAAACCAAAGCAATGTGAGGCTTGGCTTCACTGGGGTAAAAATGCAGGATAAATAAATGGAATAACTGGTTGGCACAACCATTTCTACACTGCATGCCCCAACGGGTCCTTTTGGCCTCTCTTCCTGCAAAGGACATTCTGGGGTCTCCGGTCCATCCACCCCCTCCCCTCACTTCCCCCCTCCTTTCTTTCCCGCTGGGCTCCAGAGCCACCTCTACCTGCTGGTGACCGACCAGGGCTTCCTGAACGAAGACCAGGTCACCTGGGAGAGCCTCCACAACGTGGATGGGGACAGCTGCTTCTGCGACGCCCATTTCCGCCTGAGCCACACGCTGGGCAAGGAGGCAGCCGGGGGCTCCCCGGTGGACCAGAGGCAGGTGGACCAGGTATGCCAGGGGCAGGGAAGGGCACCTGCGTATCGTCTTCCCCGGTGGGATGGCTGCAAGGACAGGGCCCTTGGGAAGAGGGGGGGGGG